GTGACTGCTCGGGGGCGGCGCCCTCCCGCCGCAGCCGCAGTGGCCGGCGCGGCAGCCAGGAGCCATGGGCAACATCTCCTCCAACATCTCGGCCTTCCAGTCCCTGCACATCGTCATGCTGGGCTTGGACTCGGCCGGCAAGACCACGGTGCTCTACCGGCTCAAGTTCAACGAGTTCGTGAACACGGTGCCCACCATCGGCTTCAACACCGAGAAGATCAAGCTGAGCAACGGCACGGCCAAGGGCATCAGCTGCCACTTCTGGGACGTGGGCGGCCAGGAGAAGCTGCGGCCCCTGTGGAAGTCCTACAGCCGCTGCACGGACGGCATCATCTACGTGGTGGACTCGGTGGATGTGGACCGGCTGGAGGAGGCCAAGACGGAGCTGCACAAGGTGACCAAGTTTGCCGAGAACCAGGGCACGCCGCTGCTGGTCATCGCCAACAAGCAGGACCTGCCCAAGTCGCTGCCGGTGGCCGAGATCGAGAAGCAGCTGGCGCTGCACGAGCTCATCCCGGCCACCACCTACCACGTCCAGCCGGCATGCGCCATCATCGGCGAGGGCCTCACCGAGGGCATGGACAAGCTCTATGAGATGATCCTGAAACGCAGGAAGTCCCTCAAGCAGAAGAAGAAGCGGTAAAGCGCCGACGGCGGCGCCCGGGAGCGAGGGGGGAGCGAGTGAGTCAGGAATGAATGAATGGATGGATGGGGGAGCGAGAACCCGCGCCCGCGAACAAAGACAGCGAACCAAAGCGATGCTTCGAATTTTTCAAAGGGAATCTCTGCTCCCAGAATCCGGGCGTGAAGGCTGACTTGCCTGCCTGCCCCCACTCCCAGCTCCGGGGACCTTTTGTCTGAACGCCAGAGCTTCAGATGGGGTGGCGGATCCCCCACCAGAAACGGCAGGGACCCGGGTGGGGAGTGGAGCGCAGGTCCTGCTGTTTGCCCTCGCGGCGCCAACTGGAAGTCTCAGATGCCAGAGACAAAAGCGATTTCCTCCAACCCCAGCAGGGCCAGAAGTTCAGGCTGCCCCGCCCCCACTGGGGGAATTGCACCTGTGCGTCTCCTGAGGTATGCAGTTCCTGGAACCCTCGGGGTACCCATCTGGGTGGCATGTTGGCGCTGGGTGGTGCTGGGGGACAGCGGCGCCTTGCATTCATGGGCTGTGGGATGTGGATAATTTTATGTCACAGGGCAGGCCCCTGTTGAAATTCCGTTGGCCCTGCTCTGGGCCCAGACGAGCTGGTGGTTTGGGCCATCAGAACAGGCTGGCACAATGCAGCAGCCTGAGGCACGGACGCGGCGCTGGCCTGGGCTAGGGAATGGCCGAATGGCCGCAGCGATGACCCTTTCCTGGTGCTTTGTGGTGGCTACAGAAGACCGGTTTGGTGAGAACTGCTTTTCAGCCTGGAATCAGACATCCTCCAGATGGTTTGGACCTTGTCCATGTGTAGGTCATTATCACACAAAGAGACCCATAAAAATTAAAAAAACAACGGCAAAACTGTTGGAGGTGGTGGCAATGATGCATTTACTGTTTGCAGGGTAGTTAAAGGTGTTTAAAGGGTAAGGCTCTTGATGTAAATGCTGGATGGGGTGTGTGTGGATACAGGGACTCTCCCCCGCTCCCCCTTACTGTGTACCGGGCATAAAGGCTTAGACCCATATGTATGGGATTTTAAATTCTCTTAGCCTCCTGATTGGTTTGTATGAACACACCAGCTGCAAATGTGTGCTGAATTGCAAGATGGGTTTTGCAAGGGATGTCTCTTGTCATGCTAACCGCGTGATGATGGGTTTTCAGACATGTTTAAAAAAAAACTTTTACAAATGGATATTCACCATAGAAATATTCACCTTAGGAAAAAAGACTTTGCTCTGCCCTTTTATATCCCTTTACGCTGCAAGAGGCGATATGTTCAGATTTCTAATTTGGTTCATTGTGGCCTATCTGATTTAAGTATTTTGTTCAAAATGTCTCAGAGTATTTGATGTCATGCACCAAAAAATAAAACCCCACCTTACTGCAAAAGGGGACCTCGTTGCATGGATTGAAAAGTGGAGGAAAAGCACAAGGATGAGGTGGGTCCTTCCTAATCCATTCTTGGGTGAGCTGGCCTGCCTGCGGAGCCAGCCAGCACTTTGGCCAAATGGAAACAACGCTGAGTGCTGGAGATCAAAGAAAGCCTGTGATGTCATGGTCGCCAGGGCTCAGGCACTTCACAGTTTACTGGAAAGGGGCTTTGGCAAATAGATCAAGTGAAAGAAGAATTAAATACATATTTTTTCATGATGTAATTTAAAGAAATCCTTTGTAATCGGGACCCAGTCTTGCTTTGCAAGCTCTCATTTACCCTGATACACAGAATCAAAAGGCAAACTGAAGCTCGTGGTTTGGTTTTGATTTCCTCTTTGAATCCATGCTTACTGGTGGCATTATGGTTCTCCCCCCATACAGGCTGTTATACATTTACAAAGGAGGCCTTTAGAAATTGGACATGACCATGCCCGAGCATGTGAGTTAGCTAAATTTGAAGTCCATCCCTACTGTCGATTGCACTCAGCAATTCATTGAAGAATCAGAGATAAGAGTTCTGCTTTCTGCTTGAAACCCAATTCTTACATGAAATATTTTCAAAGAAGAACCCTAGCAAGCCACATACCTTGTATCTTTTGTTGGTGTATCTGCTACCCCTCCAATGCTGGTCTTTCTGTAGACACTCGGTAGAGAAAATCTAGCTAAGCAGTGTTGAAAAGCCTGCAAGATTTCAGTTTACATATCAACAGCGTATTCACTGATTTCTAAATGGGCTGGTCCCATCATCTGAGGATTCTGTATAGGATTATAGAACAGAACAAAAAAAAAAAAAAAAAACAAATCCATCTTCTTTTATTTTCTTCACATGCAACAATTTCTTAAGCACTTTGACATTTTGGTAGGTCCACACTATTGAGAGAAGAATATATTTATTTTGTGAGATTGCAGATGCCAAATACCGTAACCTTCTCGTGCTCACAAGACTTTGGTTCAAGATCACTGTTTCAAATCCCGTCATGCTTTTCAAAGAATGCAAACTGGTTTTTGTGTTTTGCATTATCAAGACTTAAGGTGCAGTCAGCTGTCAGTAATTGTACAGTAAAGTAAAACCCTGTGGTGTATCAGCTAATAGTCAAGAGTCTCAGTTGATTTCTCTAATGTTTGACCTAATTCTGGCCCATTTCGTCTCTGACCAAACAGAGGATGCGCAGAGAACCACCTTGGCGTGGTCACCCTGGGGGAGTCCTCTGACATATCCATCCATCAGTCATGTATTATGCCTTCTGCCCTGGAGGACGAATGAGTTTCGCCTAGAGGAAGTTGGCCTCCCCAAGTGAGCTTCTGAAATGTTTTCTAGTAGACACAGGAAGGCCAATTTTGTTTCAGAAAAATCCTCTTCCCAAACTCTCTGTCACGGTGTTGGGACTTGATCTTCTGGTCTCATTTTTCATTTCTCCTGCTGTAATTCTCTGTCCTGATCATCCTCCTCCTTGGTTTCCGTCCCCTTTTATAATGCGTACATGATGCTGTGAACAGAAATAAATTATTTATACAATCGAACGCCTGGGGACTTTTTTTATGGATTTTTTTTTTTTAATGGATTGTGTTTATTCTCTAGACCTCCTTTGCTGAACGGAGGGATGACTCATAAGAGGGTCTCAGAGTTTCTTCCTGGTTCTGGAGTCGTATCAGTTTTTTTGACACCAATTTTTTTTGGTTTTAGGTGGCTGGGTGGCACAAACAGTTAAGCACTCGACTACTAGCCAACAGGGTGGTGGTTTGAACCCTCCCAGAGGCACCTGGGAAGAAAGGCCTGGCCATCTGCTTCCAAAAGGTCACAGCGGCTCTACTCCACACACACGGGGTCACCATGAGTCAGAATCAACTCAACAGCAACTAACAGCAACAACAATTTTTGGTTTTATTGTCTAGCTTACTGTCAATGGCGAGTTTAGAGGCCTCAAATACAGGCATCAGGATGCACCTGGGTTCATCCCCTCATGCCTGGCCCTCTTACTGGTAGTAGTCGTCACAAATTCTTGAGGAAAATGGGCCTCAGTGCCTAGCCCTTCCTCAGTACCTTCATTAGTTAAAAGGGTCATGAATTTTTAATTACTTTGAGAATATTACCTGATTATATGAAATTGGAAATATCTATGTACTAATATGAAACCATTAGTAATTGCAAAGCTGCTCAGTGACTTGGCTGTGCCTCTCCGTTCAATATCTAGGCTGTGTGCTTCACTTTGGAACCCAGCAGAAGTACTCTGTGCTTTAATTTCTCTTCAGTAGTAGAGGTGGTATAACCACCATGCTCTGTAGAAGCCGTTGAGAAAAGGTCTACTTTCCAAAGGAAAAATGATTGGGCCAGAATCAATGGGACCTTCAACATATACAACGTGTAGCACATGGAGGCTCTTGGTAGATATTAACATGCTTAAGAGCAATTAACTGATGCCTAAGACCCCAGTAAGGAGCCCTGGTGGAGCCGTAGTGAAGCACTCAGCAGCTAACCAAAAGATTGGCAGTTCAAACCTACCAGATGCTCAGTGGAAGAAAGATGTGGCAGCCCACTTCCGCAAAGATAACAGCCTTGGAAACCCTGTGAGGCAGTTCTACTCTGTCCTATAGGGTCGCTGTGAGTAGGAATGCATTTGACAGCAATGAGTTTTGGGGTGGGTCGAACACCATCTCTGGGATCAAAAAGACCCAGTTTCAAATTCTGACTCAAATACTTGGGTCCCTGTGATCTTACTCATGTTTCTTAGCCTCTGGGCCTCAGTCTCCCCATATGTGAAGTGGGCTTCATGAAGGCTTGTTGGGAGGATGAAACACAGTGAAAAGTGATAATACATGTAAACACATATGAAGTGCTTAACCTGGTGCCTGGCACATAACAAGTGCTCCATAACTTTAGCCTCTATTATCATTGGCTATTGACAATATGGAGCCCTGGTGGTCAGCCCAAAAGGTCAGCAGTTCGAATCCACCAGCCACTCCTTAGAAACCCTATGGGGCAGTTCTCCTCTGTTCTATAGGGTCACTATGAGTCGGAATCAACTCGACGACAATGGGGTTGGTGTTTGGTTATTAACAATATATGGGATGCACGATAATTTAACTCTACTGCAGGCCTTTTCATTAGGTCAGTACCATCTCCCTTCTTCCACACTCTTGGAATCGTCATCCTGCTGGAACTGAGGCTGCTGACTCCAGGCCGGGTTGGGGTGGAGACAAAGAAGCAGTTCTAGAATCCTGGATCATCCTGCATGGTCTTCTCACCCAAAGCTGTGCCAGGCCACCAGTCTCTGTGACACAAAGGGTTAAGCACTTGACTCCTAGCCGAAAGTCTGGCTATTGGAACCCGCCCAGAGGCACCTCAGAAGACAGGCCTGAAAGGTCTGCTTTGGAAAGGTCACAGCCTTGGAAACCCTGTGGAGCAGTGGTACTCTGACACACGTGGGGTCGCTAGGAGTAGGAATCAACTCAACAGCACCTTACAACAATAACAACAACAGACTCTTGAATCAGTTACTCTCATACACCCCAGATCGCTAGGCTGGACGCCCCTCTGTGACAGCTTTTGCCTAACACCATACTGAGTATATGATAGGTGCTCCACAAATAATTGCTGAATGAATTAATGAATGTTGATTACCTTTGTTCCTAAACTTTAAAATGGGCCTTACGTGAAAGAAATGATTATTTTCCATTAAATATTTTAATTCAAACAAAGATAGATAAGACGATATCATTCTTCAAGATCCCTAATGTCAGATGAGTCATTTCTATGACTTGGTAAAAGGACATTGAAACTTACACATTGTTGAAAACGTTTGTGAGCTTAGAAGTTTCCTCAAAAAATGAGCAAGTCTTGACTTTATTCTTCATATGGCTGCAGGAAGTAATTTTTATAAGCTAGATGACATCAAAATGGCACAGATGCTATTTTTTAGTACTTCTTGTTAGGTGCCATCAAGTTGGTTCCAATTCATAGCAACCCTATGCACAACAGAATGAAATACTGCCTGGTCCTGCACCATCCTCACGAAGATTGCTACGTTTGAGCCCGTTCTTGCAGCCACTGTGTCAATCCATCTCATTGAGGGTCTTCTTCTTTTTCCCCTGACCCTCTACGTTACCAAGCATGATGTCCTTCTTCAGGGACTGGTCCCTCCTGATAACATGTCCGAAGTACGTGAGATGAAGTCTCACCATCCTTGCTTCCGAGTACTAAAACCTGGAAATTTGTCTGAAACTCCATTTAGGGACCATTGTTGCTTCATATGAGTAAAACTAATAGAAATCAAAAGAAACCAAAGTTGAGATCCTTGTTTTATGGAGCAACTTAAACAAAAAGCTCCTCAGGGAACCAGGTGACCACTGATCCTTGGACGATAAGGCTCATTTAAAGTAACCACAAATGGCCACATCGCTCTGACTCTAGCAGAGGAGGCTAATTTTGGTCCTAAGCAACTAGCACGTCTCCCCCTATCTGAGCGTTTCCCCAAAGATTTCTTTCTTCGTTTGTAAGGTTTTCAGACAGGCCGCAGACCATCTTGCCTTGTTATTTCGTGCCTTTGCCTTTTGTCTCCAGAACTTGGGCTTTTGGAGCAGTTCTGTAAAGAGCATCATAGACTATTTTGATGTCACATTTTGGTGGTAGCAAGGAAGGATAAAATTACATGCAGAGACAACTTGTCCAAGGCAAGATCATGGAAACTCCATAGACACATCCAAACTTCCCGAGGGACCAAACTAATGGGCTGAGGGCTGGGGAGACCATGGTCTCAGGGAACATCTAGCTCAATTTGCATAACATAGTTTATAAAGAAAACATTCTACATCCTACTTTGGTGAGCATCCTCTGGGGTCTTAAAAGCCTGTGAGCAGCCATCTAAGATACTCCACTGGTCTCACCCCTTCAGGAGCAAGGGAGAATGAAGAAAACCAAAGACAAGGGAAAGATTAGTCCAAAGGACTAATGGACCACAAGTATCACAGCGTCCACCAGACTGAGTCTAGAACAACTAGATGGTGCCCGGTTACCACCACCAACTGCTCTGACCAGGATCACAACAGAGGGTCCCGGGCAGAGCTAGAGAAAAATGTAGAACAAAATTCTAACACACACAAAAAGACCAAACTTACTGGTCTGACAGAGACTGGAGAAACACTAAGAGTATGGCCTCCAGACACCCTTTTAACTCAGTACTGAAGTCACTCCTGAGGTTGACCCTTCAGCCAAAGATTAAACAGGCCCATAAAACAAAACAAGACTAACTGGGCACATCAGCCCAGGGGCAAGGACTAGAAGGCAGGAGGAGACGGCAAAGCTGGTAATGAGGAGTCCAAGGTCGAGAAGGGGAGAGTGTTGACATGTCATGGGGTTGGCAATCAGTGTCACAAAACAATGTGTGTATTAATTGTTTAATGAGAAACTAGTTTGCTCTGTAAACCTTCATCTACAGTACAATTAAAAATATATATATATATGCAGAGAGTAGGAAATAAAAGATCCAATAGAAAGAAAAAAGTACGAAGACATCAAACCCAGAACAGGATGGCCCTTGATCTAACAGCCCTCTCCTGCCAAGCTAGCCTTCCCCTTCCCACCTGCAGATCGGATGCCCACAGCTCGCCATTTGCCTGCTGGGATACCAGTATCCCACCTTATTAGATAGGAAGGCCTTTTCCCCTCCTCCTCATTCTGTTGTCTCATACGTGATCACTTATCCTCAAAACAACGTACTTCTGTTGGCTCTTCCTGGTGAATTAAAACCTTTTAAAAATCGATATTTGCACAAGGCCAAGTTGGAGCACTTTATACATTGGTCACAC